TATGACTTAAAATAGAATCATGCTAGAATTACACAACAAAATAGTAAATATACTACGAATAAAATATTTAATTCACAGAATCACAGCACTCACATACGAAATTATAATTAATTAATCATGCAACATTCACAAAATACGCGTAACATATTTAATCTACCATATTTAGTAATTGACTGCGAGGTCACCGATTGGACGGAATGGTCGGATTGCGATCACGAGTGCGGTTTGGGTACACAGAGCCGACAGCGGACGGTCACCCGAATGGCACAGAATGCGGGCAAAGCCTGTCCGGAGCTGCACCAGAAACGAGCATGCACAGGACAAAAGTGCGAGATCAGGTCTCATGATAAGGTTACACGAGGTGAGAAGCCAGCTTCAATGTATTAATTATACTGTATAATAAATTATAACTATAAACTTATAATTAAAATTTATTGCTATAAACTGTAATATAAGGTATAAATTAGTTTTTAAATAATTATAGAATAATATAACTTTAATTTTTGGACCCTTTCATGAATGGAAATTTCATACCTATTAAAAATTGATTTAAAAATCTACTTGGTTAATTTATAATTTTTTGTGAATAATAATTAGTTAATTATTGTAATTACAAAATTTATTATTAGTAACATATTTTTAGAATTTAACAGACTTAGCATATTAGAAATTAACTAAATAAACTAGTGTTATTTAAATAAATAAATTCAATTATTTAATTGAGTAAATTGAAAACGGGATGTTAAATTACATAACATAGACCACATTCACGTGTATTATTGCATAACACTTAACGTGTGTCTAAAACCCGGGGCCCCCGACAGACATGTCGTCCCCATTTAAGTTAGCATTTTTTCTGTACTGACAATAACTCGAATGGTTTTACGATTGACAGTCGAAACTAAAAATAATATTTTAGAGGTTTTACTGTTAAAATAAATAATTTACATAAATAGCAGTATATTAGGAAAGAATATATGTTATATTCCCGGTTAATGAGGGTATAGGGAATTTTTGCGATATAATAGGGCTAATTAATTGTTCAATTTATCAATCATTATATTAAGTTAAATTAATAAACTAAGAAACAATTATTTTATTTACAAATATTTTTACTTTAAACATTTTAAGGTATTTTAATCTTGACAAAATTCTTTTAGCTAGCTCAAATTACTATTATGTTATATAATATGCGTTTAAATAAAAAATAGGCATTATGTTTATCCAGAGCTTTACACTTATCTTATAAACTCTCTCTCTCTCTCTCTGTTTATTAAAGCGAAACCACAACTATTGGCGCAATCGTGGTATTCGTGGACCAAAACCGGTGATAATCTTAGGCGCATTGTGGCAGATATTAAAGAAGCCAATAATTGAAGTAAACAGGGACAATCACAAAAGATATGGCAAAGTGTATGGGTATGGTTTATTTATTATTTAACTATATGTTTGTCACGTTTAAGTCATTTTGAAACTTGATATTTATTCTAAAATTAGCTCTTTTATGGGCACTCGACCAATACTAGTGGTCTCAGACCCGGAGCTCATTAAAGATATGAATATTAAAAACTTTCACCATTTTGTCGATCATATGGACACCAAATCTGGCGATCCTTTAAACGACCGGTCGTTGTTTAATCTGATGGGAGACGAGTGGAAAGCCATGCGATCTGTGGTTAGTATTACATATTGTGATCGTTTGTTAATTTATTAAAAATGATTTTATTTATATGAAGAAGTAATATGTGTTTGAATTGATAGATAAGTCCGACATTTTCATCGGGAAAGATGCGAGCAATGCATCCACTGATCATCGATTGTGTCCATCGATTGGACCAATACTTGGAGACAAAGGCTATAAATGGGGATGAATTGGATGTGAAGCGAGCGATGGGTAACCTAACTATGGATGTGATCGCTTCGTGTGCTTTTGGCACTCAAATAGACACTCATAA